AGCTCAAAATGAGCAACCTGCAGCCAGCTTTAGAAAACAAAAAGACAATTTCAACACCGACTCACCGAAGATTGAGTATATTCTTTACACGGAACTACAAAGCACAAAAAAAACACAAATTTTAGCGTCACCTTTTTTGAACTTCACTGTGCCTCCAGTAGATAGATTCAGCTTCTTAGCTGTATATTTTATTTTTTTTTGGAGAGAGAAAGTTGATGAGAGAGAAAATCTGTTTACGGACGTCAAAGTTGTATTCAATTGGATTGAATTTTCTTCTTCATTCCTCCTTTTCTTTACCAATTCTTCTCTTTCTCTCAACTATAAAACCAAGTCAAATCTCTTCTTTCTTTCTTTTGTTTTTTATTTTCTCAATTAATCGATGGCCCTAAAATTGGTATAAATTTTCATTAAGACCCTTTAACTAGGTTTATACACTTTAAGTAAAAGTATGATGTAGATAGAGTTTTTGGCTAAAAATATCCTTTAATTATACCTCAAACTTAAACTGTATCCTTAAAGTATCATTTTTAGCATAAAACATTCTTCAACTATTCCCAAACTTAAACTACATCATTAAAGTATAATTTTAGCAGAAAACATCATTTAAGTATTTGTAAGTGAACAACTTTCATTCTTTTGTTAAATATCAAGTTATCTAACGAAACAACAAAATTTATGATACATAATTTCATTACTTTCTACCAAAAGTTCTTGGAAAATATAAAAAATCTTAGACATTGTTGCTTGTGAAAACTAAAAATTATTGGAAGGTGTGAGCCTAATAATTTGCTTTGAAGTTGGAGATTGATTATTTTAAGTTTTTGACCAAACTCATTCTTAAACCATATCTCAAATTCAAACTACATCCTTAAAGTATCATTCTTATTATAAAACATTCTTCAAGTATTTTAAAATAAACAATTTTTATCCTTCTACTTAAATTTATCAGAAAACTAATTGATATATCCCACAAAAAATAAGTCGTCCCTTCCTAATTATTATTCTTAGATATGCCAAGAATATTAGTGAACTTTTTCGTAATTGAGTTAAGAATTATGCAAAACCTTTTAATTTGACCGTTTTCTATTCTTTTTTCATATAATTTTAATTTAAAATATTACTAGTTTAAATATGTTTCTTCTCAATTGAATATGCTGAAGCGACATTTATTGGAGATTTCCCCTTCTAATAATGTAGAATGAAACTCAAATATGAGACATAATCAATATTTTGGTCACTTTGATATTAGATTGACCAAAAAGTCTATTAATTTAATTGCTTAAGAAAAAAGATAAAAATAATTAATCTCCAACTTATTTCCGTTATGAAAAAGGCAAATCATGTACGCTACCTTCCAGTCATTTTTAGTTTCCATAAGCAATAGTGTCTAAGATATTCAAGAATCACGTTAACTGCTCATGTTTTCGTAATACCCCTTAGTTTTTTGACAATGTCTAACAAATAGATGAAAGTTGTTCACTTGCAAATACTTAAAGGATGTTTATAGCTAAAAATGATATTTTAAGGATGTAGTTTAAGTTAAAGGTATAGTCAAAGGATGTTTTCTGGTAAAAATAATATTTTAAGAATGTAATTTAAGTTTTGGGTATAATTAAATGTTGTTTTTAGCCAAAAACTCGATGTAGATGCATGTAAAGTGTAAAATTAAATAAAAATATTCGTTATATTATTTAAAATAATTCTTGAATAAGAAACTTTCAATAATAATAAATAGAGATGGCTAAAGGATCGATCATACGTCAATACTTGATTTACAACATTAGAGAAATTGAATGTTACTACTTGATTTTCAATATTAAACCTAAAAGACGAAAAACACAAATTACAATAATATTTAGTACTAAATGCGAATTGAGTGAAAAACAAAGTAATCAATGTGAAGTCAAAGTCGAGATAACAGAGAAACCTACCTACAGTTTTGATCGCATGAAGTTAACGAAGAGAGAAAAACAAAAATAAAAGTTCAAAGATCAAATCATCTTTTCATTTGAAACAAATATGACGTGTAAAGGCTTTGAGAGTTGGCATAATATAACTGGTTAATTAATTAATGTCGACATGATTGTGTCACACGTGCTTGTGATCAACCGGAGACGATGGAGAAAGTTTCAATGACATAAGGGGACCTTATGTGAGGTGTTTAAAATGAATATCGTGGAATTGAATGCCTAAGTAAAATTTCGTGTCAACTTTAAAGGATTTATCGGTAATTAGACTTTTCTGGTGGAGATAATAATACAAAAATACTTATATCAATAATTAAAATCAGCCAATAAAATTCAACCCTTTTTTAAAGGAACTTGTATAATTGAAATTAGCAAAAAAAAGACTAAATATCCCGATAGACCCTTATATGAGAAATTATGTAGTAAAGTCATTAAATTTATTTTGTATTGATCAATTATTCAACTTTAAAAGAAATTCTTAGAAATCACTCGATTGAAATTTTCACTAGAAAATATGACATGAAAATATTTGTGTTATGTAAATATGAATTCGACAATGAATTAAATTTTAAAAAGATCCATATCTTATATACTCTTTCTATTCTAATTAACTAAGTTTGTGAGACAAGTGTTTAAGAAAAATATCCAACTACATAATTGAGTCATATTTTTTATAATTAGCTTTTGTAAAATCATAAATATAACTTAGCAAGTAATATAATTTATTTTCTAAAATATTTAACACTTCAATAAATGAAACTGCAAAATATGAAAAAGAATTTAGACATTCATCTTGAACTTTGAACAATTCAATGATTTTGAATAATAAAACAAGTCTTAAATCAAGTTAATATGAAATAGAGGAAGTATTAGAGAAAATCCTTATTAAAAATCAAACATATATATATATATATATCAAGGAATTTATTAAATAATAGTATATATTTAATTATAAATATCTATATTATTTTATAATAATTTTATAATATCGCAAAAGATTATAAACTTTAAAGTGTAAATTTGTCTTAATAATAAATTCCTTGATAAGTAAGCATTTTTTACTTTTAATTTACACAAGTTACATCAATCTCTTTTATTGTTCTAATTAAAAAATATATGAGTTACCTTTTCAATTCTGTATCTTTTTAAAATTTCATAAATAGCATTTGATTTTCCTAATCAATACAAGAGGTTATATAATATAAAGTAAAATACTAATAGACCTTCGTCGCGCGCTCTCTTTTTTTTTTCCCTGCTCATTTTCTTCCTTTTGGTCACACTTATAAATTCTCAAAAAGATTTATAGATGAATCACTTATTTTTTTTTAATCAATCTCAAAAAAGACACATTCTTATTAATAATTTAACTTTAAAGTACTCATTTTTTTTTTATTAATTAAATGGCCAATAACCACATAACTATTTCACTCATTTACACTATAAACTTTAAAAATAAATCCATTTTAAGTAAAAGTAACTCGAGAGAATGAGTATTTCACTTTGTACATAATATCATCAAATGTATCATATACTTGAGAAAAAAAACACCAATGTGATATGTTAACTTATTAAAGTTCGAGAACAATACCTACTAAAATCTCTCTTTTCAAAAAAAAAAACTAACAAGTGAGAGAATACATATATAGAGAGAGAGAGAAGGATATTGTGAATCCGAAAGTGTTAAAGATTTTACATTACCCGCATTGTGATTTTTGGGGAATTTGCAGAGTTCATGTGTTGCAGTGATGATAAGCCACTGTGTACAGCTTGTGGATGATGATGGTGTTGTTGGGTTGAGACTGAGGCATTGTACTTGAAGAATTAAGGGAAGGCATTTATTTGGACAGCATTTCCTGAGTAGGTACTATTTCCACCATTCATTGGATTTTGTTGCCTGGAGTTCATGGAATTTTGGTGCAGTAATTCGACAACAGTACCACTAGACGAAGTAGCAGGTACTTGGTTCACAGACTTGTTCACATTCGACATACCATGATACCATTGCTCTGTGAAAATCACGAATTTGAATCTTCGATCAATATAATCATCCTTCCAAAGCCAAAAATCGCATGACCTAGCATTCTTAAAAAAATAAAACGAATTAGTCTATGGCTCTTGAAACAACAAAATAAATCATTTAACTCTTACAAAAAGATTAACTTACCCCATAGTAAGGACAACCCCAATATCTTTTACCAGGATTTCTTTACGTCTAAGAGGTCAGCAAAGGCAAAACAAATTCATGTTTGCATCGCACCTCTTCCAATTCATGATCTTCCTCTTGCAAACAGAGCTTAGTCAAACTTTTTTCGAGCCATTGTGACACCTTAATAAAAATTACAGTGAATGAAACAACTAAAAATTAAAAAAAAATAAAATAAAATGAAATAAATAGAAACAAATCAAAATGAAAAAGAGAGAAATGAATCAAAACGAAAAAGAGATGAATAAATAATAGTAAAAAAGAGTTACCTCTTGATTCAAAAGAAGGAATTTTGAGCTATGTTTGAATTCAATTTGGGCATCAGATCTATGGTAAAAAATTAGAGTGATAGGTGGGTTATAAGATGGGAACGAGAATATAACCGTTGGGTTGATTTTTAAATTAAAATAACATTATTAGCATGTTGACGTGCCCAACTATGTGGAGCAAAACACGCCCTGGGATAGATGACTGAAGGGGTAATTAAATATATTTTTATGTGCTTAAAATGTGTAATAAATCACTCCATTAGTTAAAGCACCGAAAGCAATTTATGTCTTTTCCCTTATTTCTTTAAATCGCCACATAAAGCAAAAGTATAAATGGGTGGACGTTTATTTATCCTTATTTGTCACTAAATATTGTAATTTTTACTCCTTTTTATTTTATATCACATGCATTCTATAAATAACATTTAACTTAGTCGGACCTGACATTGAAACTATATAAATGTTCAATGAAGAATTTGTAAAGCCAATGAGAATGAATCCTACTTATGGTTTCTCGCTGATATCCTCTCTGGAGTTGCCGGCAGTAGAGACACTGGAATATATCGCTGACAAGTATACATATTGACATTTCTCTTCATGATGACTAGTATATCCTTACAATAGCATCTCTCCCCGCGCAGTTTAACCAGAAAAAAAAAAACACTGCACTCCAGAGAGCCAATAACAAGATACAGATGATGGCAACAAGATTAAAGTCGGACCGCCTCATAATGGTTTTAATTTTTTTTTCCAGCAGAAAGCATGGGCAACTGGCTCTTTCTAATTTGTAAAGCGTTTAGAAAAAACATCTCTAGGTCAAAATCAAGCCAGCAATCCTAATCAACAGGTTAATAGAAATACTTCAAACTAAGCCCCTATGAAAATTCCAGTGCTTAAATCAAATTTCTTCAGATATAACTTCATACTAATGAAATTACTTTGATTACCCCAAGTCTCTTTTCCTGTCGAGCCACTCCAGATAAGCCTAACAGAAAGTCGAGTAGGAAGGAGAGGGAAATGATGATTGCACCGACGCCAATTCTAGAAGCTACTGGAAGCTCTACGACAGGACCCCAACTATATACAACCGCATGCTGAGTGGTGGTGGAGATGCAGCACGATGGGGGCAATAGCTCAGCCGATACATAGTTAACAAATGCCTCCACATGGTATAAACAGATTGAATTAGCTGTCTATTAGCCAAGTCATTCCCTGAATGTCCCATTAAAGGAGCAGCTACGACAAACCAGCCAACACCAAGTCAGAATTGCACTCTCGAATGAGATACCATTTCAGCTGTTAAGATGCCACACTATACGTTGTCCTTACCACTCAAAGCAGTACAGAAGGGGCAAGCTTTGAAGCCACTTCTGCTTCAGCAACCATAGCTACTCTCATCATGAGAGGCAAACTTATCAAATGATCTTTGCAACACAAGCGGCAGAACATAAACTAATAATTGCCAACCTGAACCTTTTCAAGGAGAAGTTTTCCAGTCAAACTGCAGGTTGTTAAAACCGTTGACAGCTTCTAGACCACTAAGCAGTTGGTTTCCCAGATCTTGTTGCTGTTGACTCATATTGTGTTCTCTCACCATTGTCATGCCCACTAACCCATTCATGGCTGAAGGGTTATTACCCAATGCAGCACGCATTCCATTAACCATTGCAGCTTGGCCCAGTCCATTGTTCATACTCCCAAATCCAGAACCAATACCCGTATTGTTAGCATTGGCTGTCCCATTCCTAACAAGGCAATTGCTTCCATTGAGAAGGGAATTATTACTTGTTGCCAACATCCCATGTCCATTTTTCATATCATTCCCAATAGTACCATTACCTACCATGCCACCGCCACCGATCTGTGAAGACATCATCATTTCATGTATGATCTTTTGTACAGAACTCTGAGAGTCATTAGCATCCACGTCACTTGAATGGGCTGGTTGCTGCATTGTGATTTTTGGGGAATTTGCAGAGTTCATGTGTTGCACTGATGATAAGCCGCTGTGTACAGCTTGTGGTGGATTGTTGGATGATGATGGTGTTGGAGATTGGAATTGAGAAGAGTTGGGTTGAGACTGAGGCATTGTACTTGAAGAATTAGGGGAAGGCATTTGGACAGCATTTCCTGAGTAGGTACTACTTCCACCATTCACAGGATTTTGTTGCCTGGAGTTCATGGAATTTTGGTGCAGTAATCCAACAACAGTACCACTAGACGAAGTAGCAGGTACTTGGTTCACAGAGTTGTTTACATTCGACATACCATTGCTCAAAGGTAGTGGTGGTACACCAGACTGTGAAGTCGTCTCATGGTTCGAGCTATTGACAGTTTGATGTGTATGTTGTTGCTGCTGCTGCTGCTGCTGTTGTTGTTGCTGCTGCTGCTGCTGCTGCTGATCCTCGGTTGATTGAACTGGACCTTGTACTCCAGCTGAGGAACCATTCCTACGAGGAAACTTAGCCAAGCTCTCTGGAAAATTAAGAGTTGGGCACAATGTGAACAGTAAGAAAAAATGTAATATGTAAACGCCAGAACAGATAATCAATACTAGATGAAAATAAATAAAAAAAGTTGATCATACTCTAGTTGAATATCTACTCCAAATTATCAATTTGGCGCACACAAAAAATGGCCCACTCATATACGCATCACAGGTAGAGAGGATAACACTGGGCCAGACATAAAAATTGACTAATGATAAGTTGAGCTCCCACTCATTTACCCCGGAAATTGAATTTTGGTAGATTACCACTTGAACTTCATTAATTTTAAGGAGACACCTGACCACTTGACCAGTCTCCTGGGGCTTAAATACCACAGCGAACTCCAGAGCACAAGGAGGTAGCACTAAGATATAAAACACAAAATCCTCATTATCGAAAAAGACTTAACACCAAATCCAGAACGCCACTAGGAATAGTGAAATATTTCGGGACAAAAGAGGGAATTGATAAGAAATTCAGGGGGAAACTATGCTACTGGATCAATGAGCATCAGCGAGTTAACGATACATTATCTTCAACACGAAAGTCAGCCTTAGTTTGCAAGAGTTGAGAGTCCTACTCTTTAGTCCCCCATATTCATGCATATTGCGTGGCTCTAATTATTACATGACAGTTATATTACCAACAAAATTGACCAACGATGCAGCGGAATCTGCTTTGTCTCATTGATTCCCTACTCAGACAAGATGGTTTCTATTTTCTGTCCACGAAGCAATTTCATTGTATGAGCAAAATTTACTTCAAAAGGCAATTTTCTTTCTTTTGCCCCCCTCCCCCCTCCACAATCCCAATTTGCTCTCTTCTTTCTTTTTCATTGACTAAGAAATCCGTTGTTTCAGCTTAGAAACTCAGGATAATGATCCTAATGCTCTCTATACAAGTGTCATTCCCTACTTATTAAAAGAAATGTAAGAATAGGAATAGGTTTATACAACCAAATTAAAATACGAAGAGGAATGGCAATAGAAATAGTACCCTACTTTGGTAAAGGAAATAGTATCCTACTTTGGTAAAGGTATTGTAGTGTGTATAAATAGGGTCTTCTATGTAATAACAATAATACTGTAGATACACAATTTCAATAATACTCCTCCAATACTTCCTCATAAGAAGATAATGGGCCTGATTCTCTACACTTCACCTAGAACCAAACTTGGAGCAACAACAGCCTAGCACACATCATGTGATCTACCACCTTTCCCATTGAACCAAACTCCTGGGACACCTTGAAATAACAATCTGATGCCTCTTTGTGACATATATTCTTATCTACACAACACTAGCGCGATAGAGTCTAGAAAAACATACAATTCTTATAAACCTATGTAGACTTGAGGAAAATAGGACATGGCAGAAGGAAAGAAAACCTTACAGAGAAAATATCAATTAGTTGGCAATATGCCATGTTAATAGGTTTCTTTAGTTCTGCTATTTCCTTTTCCTTGAGCCGAGGGTATATTGGAAACAGCCTCTCCACATCCAAGGTAAGGGGGTTGAGATCTGTGTTAGCTCTATCCTACCCAGATCCCACATGTGAAATTACACTAAGCATTTTGGTGTCGTTGTATGCAACACTAACTGTCTAACTCACATGAAAACAACCCATCTATCCTCCTATTTTAATGAGTCATAGGTTTGTCACAAGGTCAGGAAATTTGAAGTATGACGCAAGGAACTAATAGAAAGGTTAAGTACGTTGAACTTACCCATGGGTCCGGTCCCCGTCTCCCTGCTATAGTCAATCAAATCTTTCATGCTATTAACCACCTCTGATATCTGCATCCACCAAGAACACAACACATCCATAATTAATCACACGAGTAAAACATCATTTGACCAGATGTTATCACAAAAGCAACTTTATATTTGGTTTCAAAATTAATGATTATAAAACATTTGAGAAAAAATAAACTGAATTACAGAAAACTAAAACCAAAAAACACTGAGTTCCTGCTAGAACAAGCATTTTTCAAATGAAGTCAATTTCTGAAGGAAAGACAATAATTACCAACAGTAGGAAAACATTATACCACATATTTGTATGCAAGAGAAAAGCTGGAGCATTATACATGAGTTAATTACACATTATAATTAAAAGGAATTTTCAAATCCACAACATTAACAACCATCTCAAACCTTCTGACTGTTAAAAGAATTGAATTTGTCTCTGTTATCAAATCTGCTCTGAAAACAGCAGGATGACATATGGAAAGAAATGACCTGAAGACAAGTCGACAGAACTGATTGACTTTTGAATCAGACATAAAAAAAGAGATGCATAACCTAGCCGAGACACTTTATAACCAACTATTACAGTAGCTAAAATTCTAACAATCACATTTAGTGACTCAACAGATACACGAGGACTATTTGCACTACTAAAACGAAAACCTACATAACGGACAGATAAGGGGGGAAAGAGGAGCTCTCTATATCAAAACAAGGTACATACCTGTAGGCATCTCACATATCTCTTTGTATATCCTAAATCATTTACTAACGGAACTTCCAAAGCTTTTGCAAGCTGACGAGCTGAAGCGACAAACCTGAAGCACAATTAGAAGTCAAAATTACAACATAACCCATACATCTAAACTAAAGAAAGGAACACATGATGATAGCAGATACACAATCTTAATAAAATTTTGAGAATCAAGGAATCTCTAAACATAACTTCACACTGAATGCTTACATGGATAACTTCTGACTTTTTCAAAGGGCATGCATATCTTAGCATACCCTCGCCCCACAACATCAAATCACTACCCACAGATCCTGAGATTGATGTTATTCCATGGGAAGAAGATTTATTCCTTTCCCATTTGGTAGGTCCAGACACAAGATGACACCCTAGCTCCTAGCCTCCTACCACCTCCCATATGTCACCATAACAGTGACTGCACTAGAATTTAAATCAACATTCATGCAGGTCACAGTCAAGATCCTCAACCCACACCCCAAAACCATGACACTACAAAAAAAGTATCAAAAGAAATAAGACAGCCATGCAGCTAAACATACCATTGTGGTAAAATATTTATCAACTAGACATACATAATAATGTTTAAAGAGTTTTGAGTTTCTAAGGTTCAACAGTATGACAAATTGACCATACTCCATTATACCAAATTCTCAGCTGCCTCATCCAATAAAGGTAGACAAGAAAATATGTACCCGATGGATCACTATATCAGATGACAGTAAGTTTCAGTCTTAAAAAAATTATTGGATTGCCAAAAGCTTACTAGAGCAACTCATTGGTAGAGCATCTTACCTTAGCATGGAGAGGCTAACCTAAGCTAAGAAAGAGCAGGCAACAGCACCAGTAAAGACCATAAAAGCTCAATGCCAAAAACAAAGCTGTATAAAATATGAATTACACATAAATCCTATCTCATCATCACTGCCCACTAATGACAGCGATCTAATATTTGACCCTGGCTTACCTCTTAATAAAGAGAGTTAGATATTCAAAATTCAAAATAGAAATTGCTAGGCAACAACTACCATTAAACAAAGTTAGCCTATTGCAGACCTCTTGGAGAAGAGGCCAGAGGGTTAGATATGCTAAATAGAAATTATAAGGCAACAAAACAATCAAACAAAGTTATGGAACATTCCCAACCCAATACTTGGAATCAACACCTTAACGTAAGCATCTGGACTTACATATTGCAATTATTCTGCAACTCAGAAACAGACGCACTAGATGATGCATTTTGGGTGGCGGCCTGGTACTTTTGAGCTGCAGCACCAAGTTGATTAACCTGTACAGCATATCAAAACAATAATAGGCAAATCAGAAATCATTCTATAGCCCCTACCTCATATGCAACATCAACACTCAAAGTTAAAACGACATCCAGCTAACATAAAAATTATATGCTAAAACAACCAGATGCCACAGAAGTACGATCACATACAATAAAAATTGAGAACTGCTTCAAAGAGACATCCTGGAGTAGAAAACCTGATCCACTCACCGTAGGTGTCATCAAAAGCGCAAAAAAGCTCCAAGATTCACTAGGCTTTGAGCACAAATAAAGTGTAGACTTTATTGAGAAAAGCGTAAATGGAGAAAACACACACACACACGTACATACATACATACATACATACATACATACATACATATACATACATACATACATACATATATATATATATATAGTGCAAGACTAATAATTATTAACATGAAAATAAAAAAATATATATGGACAAGGAAATTTATTGCTTTTAGGATAAAATAAAATAACAATTGTTTAGAGTCGCCTCTTCATTAAATGCTCATTCACAAGGAAAAGCGGGTCTTAGAGCCTTAATGACGAGACTGAGGGCACATTAAGCAGGGTGAAGCGTTCAACACGTTTTGAGTCTTGCTTGGGGATTAAGCATGCTTTGATAACATTGCTCATTGTGCACAAGATCTCTTAAAAATATTGTACTAACGGAGTAAAACGAGAGATTTATACACAATGTATACAAGTATCAATTTCATTTATGTGTACACACACATGCGCACACTTGTATACAAATTCTTCAATGGACCTAATGCGTGTAGCAAAACATGATAAATAGCATGACAAACCTACAGTTATGTTGCTCGGACTCTTCAAAAATGTCAGTGGGTGCGTGTCGGATTCTCCAAAAGTAGCATATTTTTGGAGATCAGGCACGAGTGCGGCATCTACATTGAAGAGTCCGCGCAACTTAAACTTATGAAACAAAATCCAACTGATCTATTAAGAAAGCATGCTTAGTTAGATGTCACTTCCTAATCAAACGCTAAACTTGTTAAGTGGCCACATAGAGAAACCGTTTGACCAAGTTGCTGAAAATTGTTTATTTTGAGAAGCATTTTCTCTAAAATTGTTCACCGAAAAAGTACTTCGGGAGAAACGTAATGTGTTTGGCAAGTTCTTTTTGATATTTGATAAGCAAATTGTGTTAGGCTAATCTTTCTAACAAAAAAGATTTTGAATGTCAAATTGTGAAAAAGGCAGGTATTAATGCACGTTATAATTAAGATTATTCTATAGAGAAATATTATTTTAAAATGAATCAACAACTGTAGACTTTGACAAAGTTTGTACTGTTATTTAGTTAAAATTAAAATACATATTAAAATTTTCAATATATGGTACATATAAATAAATCAACGAAAATATAATATACTAGTATAATATTAACATGATGATTTGAATATACTAAGAAACATTAAACAATATATATTAAAAAATTAACCTCAAATTAAATAACCATATATGGAGTATTTACCACAAAATAAGTAAAATCATTCCCACAACGAAATAAAAGACAAAAGAACCTCCTACATGAAATGCATGGATACTAATATTAAGAGTCAAAGGAAATGAGAGAATTCTAAAGCTAGTCATTATTTTCTTCTATTTTTAAAAGAAAAGGAAATGGTTGTTCTATAATAAAAATGGAATAACTTGATAAGGAGTTATGCATGATAAATATGTATTTATGGTAGGGAAATTTTTTGTTTGGAAAAAAAAATTCTACTTCCACCTTTTTCAAGAAGCAGATTTTTTAATTTCTTTCCAATAGCAAAAAAACTGATTTTGCTGCTACTCAAAAACAGTTCTACATATTGGCCGAACACTTCAAATTTTGAAATAAGTGCGCTTTTGGCCTCCAAGAAACTGGCCCAAACAGGTACTTCATTTAAGTAACTCATAATACAAAGATGATACTTAAAGCATGAATCCTTTACTTGGTTACTCGAAAATGAGCTTTTATTGTATGCATTTATCAGATCCTAGTTCACTATACGCACACTTCCACAGGAAAAAGAAAAACTAAAAAACTGAAGACAGTGCAGCTCTAAGTGAAAATTAATGAGTTTTGTGTTTACTGGTTCCAATATAGCTTTTGTTTTTCTTTTCCTCCTTTTAAATATAAGTTGTAGCAAATCTGGCACCAAAAGTAGCTTACCCCGTACTTACTGCACATAGAAAAACCGAGGAATCTAACACCGAAGAACAGGAACTTAATACTATAGCATATTTAATTAAATGTCTTGTGGAAAACCAGATGTTAATATTATTAGATAGCAAACATAAAATTTCTTTCCACTGACAGCAAACATAGAATTATTAAGTAAATCCTCATACAACGAACACATTTAAAGCTTACTTCAGTCCATGTTTCTAATTTTCTATACATTGTCAATTGAAGTTAAATTTCTAACATTTGTATTCTTTTTTGTAGCACACTTTTATCATATAGTAGTAGTTCACTATAATACAGGCATAAAGGCAAAGACAAAAAGATAACAAAATCTGAACTTTATGAAATGAACTCGAGGTTTACTAGCTTAGATCTAGCTTTCATTTGTGTTTTGATTTTTTTGATCGAGTTGTGTCAAATTTGACGCACCAAGATCCATCAACCGGCACTACTTTATTTACAATCCTACTGAGAGAATATTTGATTCTAAATTTTATCAGCGGAAAGGTCTTCTTGATATTAGGCATTTGAAGCCACTTGTGATTGAAAAATATACCAAGGAATAGATAGAACCGCAAGTGATCATATTAACAGCACAACAATTTGACTCCTTTTTCAAATTCCTCAATTTCCATTTTCAAGTCGGAGCTTATTTAAATTATACTTTGTTATCCTGTGCTAATACAAATTTTCTTATAACTAGCACAACTTAAGAGCATCAAACACCTGTTCCATGGACCACAGAGCATCAAGATCACACAATAAAACAGTTCTGAATTTTTATCCATCACATCTTAACTATCCTGCGACCAGAACATATCCAAAACCAGAGGCCTTAACCAGGGTTAGAACTTCTACCCAACGTGAAACCAGTTCGAACTACCAAAAACAAATTTCAAGAATGCAATACAATCCACCAAATACTTCAAAAAACAATATTGAATCCAAACACAATCCAGCCATGCAAAAGTTTTCAAAAACATTTTCTAGAGACAGATTCGCTCCAAACTGAAATAAAAAACAAATAGAAATGCCATACAATTACAAGCAGTCAATTCTTTCCATTAGTTAACAGAAATTGCAACCACAAACAACTAATTGGAGCTTGATTCATCTAAAAAGCAGTTTAGAGCTGTCTGTCTAGCGGCCCTTACCGCTCCAATATCATGAGATGAGGATAGAGTATAAGAAGCTTCTAAACCGTTCTGCATTGCTAAGAAGAAGAAACAGGTAAACTAAAAAAGAACAAAAATGCAACTGGAATCTTGTACTGCCGTGTATAATGAGCTTATACCAACTGACAAAAAAAAAGGAAATAGTGACCATACAAATAATAAAAGCCATATTCCACAAATTCTTAAAGAAATAGGAAACATACTCATAGAACCACACTCTCATCCAATTACATAAATAATGTCGATAATAAAGATCAATCGCACTGAATTAGCACACAGTTCCAGGTCAATGAAATGAAAAGGCTTCTGACATAGCAGATGTGGCAAGAAATTAGATTGAAGTTCTTTACTTCTCAAATAGAGTTTAAAGCATCTTCAAAAAATTTTGAAGAAAAAGATCAACAGACCTTTTTTTACCTATATTTAAACCTACGCCACCTAAAAGTTTGCTATCAGTGAATACAAGTGAATGATTCAAATCACAGTTGCATTGGTGGAATGGTAGTTGAAAGGTAAAATTGTTAACCTGAGGTATCAACAATCTTCTAGGGATAAGCTCCTCATGACGTCGTGCACAAAATTCCCAAGAAACTATCTGCCAAGTAGATAAGAAGAAGTACAGATCAAACAAATTATAAAATTAATATGCACCATGCTAGGTCTCAACTGTCCATGAGTTAGCACTTCACTGAATATAAAACTATCAGCTTTTCATTTAACCTTCAAATCAGGTTGTGAAAACACTAGTCGAAGCTGACCATCACGGACAACACGAAGTTGCTCAAAGACACTCTCCTGAATTGCTTTTGCGTAATCTAGGACTATTTGCCCAGATGAATTCTGATATTCACGGGGCATATCGACATAGAGAAGTTCTTCCAAAGTTCCACTTTCATACTTGATCTTGAAAAGCCTGGGCAAAACCTCGGCAGTCGCTTCTGAGAAAAAAATGAGTTGAGACTTGTCAGGTGCTGAAACAGAATTATCAGCTGAGAGGAAAACCGAATTAATAAAGATGAATTAACTTAAGAAAAGGTTTGTTAAGTCACAAAGTTTGTTAAGTGCTTCTCGGAACAAAAAATGATTCAAGAGCTTGATGCTGCAAAGAACATACCGAACCCACGGCCTGGCTTGCGGCTGCATATTTCGCAGTGCCACACATCCTGCAAATTACACAGTATTAATCAAAGATATTAAATGCATTTGCTAACAGTTTTTCTACAGCTAATCGGCAGCATTTATAGAACGAGCTATAAAAGGAGTCTCTGTGATGAAAATATATCTATGCTGTAATAGAATACGAAACTTGTACCGTGAAAGTGTTATTACAACTCAATTTTAATCTGATGGGAGAACAGACAACATTACAAAAACAAAAATGTAAATAACTTCCACATAAGCAGTGAACCTGAGGAAAAACTCCAGTAGTCTGCCGACCACTTCCATACATAGATACACACCATTTTTTCTTGGCATTGGGAGCGAAATACTCAGCAACAAATTTCCTCCAGAACTCAATGTTATTGTCCTATAAAGAAGGTAGAGCAATTTGTTAGGGAAAAAAATTGATATAAAACCTACTTTTTCATTATCTGGGCAGGCTGTGGGGTAGGGTGCAGTGCATAGATGACACACAATGGTATAATTGACCCATTCTTCTTACTTCAGGTCTATGTTGCTGCTGATACATATAATGAGTCAGACGACGGGCACACATCCCGGGCTCATATACTGGCTTTACAGGAGGTCTGACAGCAAGATTCTGTGGTTGAAATTGTTGTTGTAATGGGTTTCGTTGTTGAGGAGCAGTCTTCAAGAGTTGATGATGATGCTGGAACTGCATTAACCTCTGCTGATGCAAAAGCTGTGCTGCAGCAGCAGCTTGAGGGGACTGCCTAGACATCTGAAGAAATTGCTGCTGCTGTTGTTGATGTAGAAATAAAGATGGGTCAGATTGTTGTTGTTCTACTTTGACAGGTGCAAGACCTCTCATACTTTGAATCTGTTGCGGTTCCATTTTTACAGGTGCCAAGTTTCTCAGAGCTTGCAATTGCTGCGGTGTTTGATCATTCGTCACCTGTGTCTCCATTTTGACAGGTGCCAAACTTCCTAGTCCGCCACGCATGGATTGAAATTGATGCTGCTGTTGCTGTGCTTGGGAATTGATAGGGGAAGGAAACTGCTGCAACTGTTGATTATGTTGAAAATTCTGGGAATCAAGCTGTTGGGATCGTTGTTGGTCAGTCAACATGTGATTACCGGCGGGGTTAGGAAACTGCTGTCCTTGAACTCGACTGCTATCAGGATTTGTCACCATGGCTGATGACATAAATGACGTTGAAGGAGCGCTAAAACCCATCCCATTTCCTACACCAGAAAGTGGGTCACTCTCAGCCCCATTATCAACAGGACCACGCTGAGAACTTCCTGGTCCAGCCAGCCCAGTGTTAGGACCTCCATTTGCAAAGGACTGATGTGAAACATTGGAAGCATTCCCTAGCATATGCATGTTACCAAACATCGTCCGAGGAGAAACCATAGAAGGGAAACCACCAGGTGAAGGCATGGAGCCCCCTTGACCACCCATTACACCAGAATTTGATCGCAATAATGAAGCCGGTACTGACTGGGAACCTCCAATTGGATTAGGAGGTCCTGTTGGAACCATTTTTTACCAAGAAGTACACAATCTACTAACACTTGATCAAATATAGAAACTTTCTTAAAGATGGCATAAAAGCCTCAAGTGAGTAGAGAAAACTCATAAAAAAATGGCATCAAATCCCCCACTAAGCTGAAGAAACTTCAATTGCTCCGAAGAAAGCACTAGGCAGAGAACCAAGCAAAACCAATAAGGTCATTCAATTTCAGACTTCTTTCCGCTCAAGTAAATTTCTTTTGCTGCATCATCCACTGCAAGAGTTGTTCAATTTTGTGTCAATTTTTCCCTCCTTCCCGAGAAAGATAGCTTAACCCTAGCCAACCTTACTACAAATCATCTAATCAGAATGTTGTGCACACAAAACCCCAAATCTCAACAGTTTTAAAGACAGAAGTCAAACTTCACCCTTAAAAAACACAAATTCAAAAAAAGCAACAGATAGAGAATATTACCCAAAAGCACCAAAATTTTCAAACTCAGAAAAATAAAAGAAGCTGCAGTAATTGAACAAAAAAAAAAGCAAAAAAAAACTCATACAACCCTATGAACACTTGATCAAACCCTAAATAGTGGATCCAAAGCTCAAAATGAACACCTGTATCCAGGTTTAGAATAGAAAGCAAAGAAGACTTACCCAGAAGACAATTTCAACACCGACCCACCGAAGATTGAGTAGATTCCTTACACGGAACTAGAAGCACCAAAAAAAAAAACACAAATTTTAGCTTCACCTTTTTTTGAACTTCACTGCTCTTCCATCCAGTAGATAGATTCAGCTTCTTAGCTGTATAGTAGTAATTCTTTTTTGGTAGAGAGAGAAAGTTGAGGAGAGAGAAAGTATGTTTACGGACGTCAAAGTTGTATTCAATTGGATTGAATTTTCTTCTTCATTCCTTCTTTTGTTTCTCTCAATCAAAATCAAAACGAAGTCAAATCCTCTTCTCTTTTTCACGCTTTGCGTAGGGATAGGGGGAGGGGTTGATTTACACATGTATGTGGATGGATAGATGGTGATGGATATTTTATGTTATATACATCCCTTTTCTAATTGTCACTTGTTATTGACAATATTTACAGAGTACCCTCGAGGTATTTATTTGTTAAAACCCCAATAAAAGAAACACTTGTTTGAAATGGGATAAATATTATGGAAAAATAATAATATATATAATAATAAATAAAAGTATTTCGCTCTACTTTATTTCTTTTATTTTTGATATTTCATTATTTTGCTTTTTCTAATACTCCAAACTCTATAAGATAAAATAACTATAATAATATATTGAGAAAGAAAATTTACAAAATTATCTACAGCGCAATAATTTGTATGGTATATTTTTCACGTTCATAGGAGTGCGTTTATGTTTTTCTACTTTACGCATATGATTCTTTTGGATATTTCTAATAATATCCATCCTTCTTCCTATTTTGGCATTTTTCATTTTTGAAGTGTTAGCCCCGATTAGCAAAGGGCCGGAGAAACTTTCTACTTATGAGTCAGGTATAGAATCAATGGGCGATGCTTGGTTACTGTTTCAAATGCGTTATTATATGTTTGCTCTAGTTTTTGTTGTTTGATGTTGAAACGATTTTTTCTAATCCGTGAATAATGAATTTTATTAGGCCTTACCGATCATTATGGTCATATAAATTCGTTATATGAAATATAGTAATAAAATATAGGTACTAATAAAAGAAATTATTAGTTTATCGTATAAATTCATTCACATAATACTCTAAAAAATCACATGTTATTTTAATCACTTCTTTTTCTTTTCATGCTTAATTTAATCAATTGATAGAAGTAAATTAATAGAATTTAAATACTTTTTTGGAAAACTCACATAACTAAAACCAGTAAGATAAATATCTCAATTCTCAAGAAATCATTCAATATAAAAAATTATATAGAAAAAATATTTCACTTATTTCATATAAATCAAATTATTTAACTTAAAAGAATTTTTTTCTTTTTTATAAAATTACTCAATTAAATATGTCATAAAAAACATGACATATCAAAACAAATGATCTTCTTATGTTAAATTCATTCCATACTAACACAAAAAACATATATATAGTGATTGAAATATTTTAAATGTAAAATACGGTGATAAAGTGTATATGCATCATAGGCAGTTTATAATCGATATAATACGTCCAACTAAATTCAAACTCTTTTGGACGTATCTCATATATATAAAAAAAATTATGTAATTATAAATATATTTACTATTATATGATAAATTTATAATATCGTAAAAATTATATTATATTTTATCTTTTTATTTTACACTTGTATTAAGAAATAAAGTTATCCTTCTATTTTTATTTAATTTTTTTGAAATTTAAGTTTTCAATTAATAAATATAAATTAAATTATTTTAATTAATTAATGAACATGAATAATTTATTTAGCTCTTTTAAATTGATCAAATATATATTTTTAATAATAATAACTCATAAAAATAAAAAAATTATAAAATAATAAATATTATGAATCAATTATTTATAAAAAGAAAATGATATATAAAATAAGGGAGAAAGCAATAAAATGAGTAATTTGTAACCATACAATTTGTAGAGTTTGAGAATGTTTCACTTTCTAGTAAACACACCCAAATGAAATATATAGAGGGTATTTCCGTCAATAAAATGAAAGCAAAAGGCGAAAAACCATGCGCGCCAATTTTGATGACACGTGTCGTCGAATGTGTGATAAGCAATTAACAACTTCAATACAGCGGCTGAACAATGGGAATGATAACGTCACATGTAGTTCACGGAAAATTAATGTGAAGTCTACAGGTGTCAAAATATGAAGGAGGGTAGCATATATATTTTCATGCTACTACGAGTAGCGTTAGCATCTTCGGGAAAATCATTTGTAATGATGAATAATGCCCACACATTACATCTAGGGATCTCGAAACTGCTTTCGAAATTCCATTATTACCCTTTTGTTTCAATGGCACACCTATTTTGCCTTTTTTACTAAATTAGGTATGTGAGTAGTGACGTCAATATGATGTTATTATATATATTAGTCTCTTCATTTAAAAAAGAAATAATTTTGTTTGACTTAAAATGAAAATTAATAAAATAAAGAATAATTTTTTAATTTTGTGATTCTAAATTAAATTTATGTCAAATATTTCAAAATATCCTTTAATCTAGTGTCTTTAAACATGTCATTCGGAAAGTTAAAGTTAAAATATTGTGAAAGAAAAAAAGTTCATTATTTTTGTAAAAAATTAAAAAGTAAATAAGAAAACGAAGAAAGTATATTAATTTAACACATGTAATATTTCTATTAATTTATTTATTTTATAAATTGGAGCTAAGTTATATGAAATGGCAAGACCAGCAAAGTAGTACCTACAATCACAATATAACCAGGAGTGAAGCTACGTCTTAAATGGGTTCAAATAAATTAATTAGCTTTTGCGTAGATTTTATATACGTATTAAAAATTATGTATAAATATATGTAAACAGTGTGCGCAAAATCATACCAAACAAAGGTGAATGGCGCAGTGGCAACAGACAAGCGCGTGAGCAGCCCAAATGTATTTGGACAGGGTTTTGATTCCCCTCGGCAACTATTTAATTTTTTTAATTCGAATTTTTTCATTTTCAATTAAAAAATGTGCTTTGTGCTTACCTTTTACTTTCCTTTAATTTAATATTTTCTATATAGATTTTTTAGTTTTTTTTTAAACTATAAAACGGAAAATTAATAATTAAAAAAAATAGTGTCATACTCCAAAAAAACATCTGACTATTAACTTCAAGATAATTATAAGTAACAAAATATAATGTTATACTCTAAAACATCAAATTACTGTAGATTTCTTTTGAAATATTTAATAAAATGTTCAAATCGTAAAATTTAATTTTAGGATTCAATTTTTCACTGCCTATTTCATTGCTATAACTTGTTGTTAAAGTGCAGAACTTTGCCCGAGTAAGTACTATTTACTTCTCAATTCCTTCTCAACTCTCCCTTTTCTCTCTTTTTTTTTAATTTATCTTTACATTATATAAAAGTTTATTCAAATATCTAATTTTTAATCTTTAATTTAAGGGTTGTTCTACGTATTAATAATTTATTATATTTATTAAGTTATTGTTTGTTTCACGGAAATTCAACTTTTAAGCAAGAGTGCCTCAATGGTGAAGCAAGTAAAACTTTCCCTTTAGGTTCAAAAATATTAATGATGAATCTAATAATTTTAATTTTACTTAAAATAATATTTGAGATTATAGAAAAAACGTTTAAATTTTTTACTAAAATATAGCATTTATCTACCTTTTATCAAATAATATTTTGAAACTTTGAAATAAATAATTCAAATCTTTATATTAATAAATAAAATATTTGAAAGTGTACCAAATAATGCATTATCTATGTTTCAAAACATAACAACTTGTGGAGTGCAATTGTAATGATATATTAATGTTTGTGGTTATATATATATATATATATATATATATATATAT